TTAAAGCTCAAGGAGGGGGCTCCTCATTTATGCAGTCTCTCTTCATTCATTCATTCATTCATTCATTCACCTATTCAATAGTGCTGGATGGTGGAAGGAAGGGAAGCAGGGATAGTCATACCATGGTTTCTGATTAGTCATTCATTCATTTTTTGAATACCTATTGAGCACCTAATAATGTGTGCACGCCCTGCAGGGTGTAGCTACAGGAGCTCTGACTATAAACCAAGCTGACTCTCCTTTATTTAACTGTGCCTGCTTAGCCTGTGTTCGGGGTGCCATCTTCACAATGGTCCTTTGGAAAGCTGGGGATGTCTTTGAGAATTCTAACTTTAGAATCACCTTNTTCATCTATTCAATAGTGCTGGATGGTGGAAGGAAGGGAAGCAGGGATAGTCATACCATGGTTTCTGATTAGTCATTCATTCATTTTTTGAATACCTATTGAGCACCTAATAATGTGTGCACGCCCTGCAGGGTGTAGCTACAGGAGCTCTGACTATAAACCAAGCTGACTCTCCTTTATTTAACTGTGCCTGCTTAGCCTGTGTTCGGGGTGCCATCTTCACAATGGTCCTTTGGAAAGCTGGGGATGTCTTTGAGAATTCTAACTTTAGAATCACCTTTAGATCCAATTTGTAAGCCAGGAGAAAATCAGTGTCAGATCTTTTGAATTCTCTCTCTCTTTCTCTCCCTTTCTCTCTCTCTCTATATATTTCATTTTTTTAAGCAAAATATGACCATCTCCCACCACTCAAATACACATCCACACTTCACATCACCAGATAATGCCTTCTTACTATTAAAAACAAAAATCAGGTCAGCTCTCGCATGCCTAAGAAGCATGGACTCTGGCATCAGACACACCCGAGTTTGAACCCGGAGTCTGCCTGGCCTGATTGTGTAATCATAACCAAATGACTTAATCTTTTTGAGCCTTAATTTATTGTCTGTGAAAGAGAGATGATGATACGTCTTGCCACATCTCTGTGAGGTTTAGAGATGATGTACTTACAAGGTCTAATGTAGCACCCTGTACAGAGACAGAGCTCAATAAATAATGATTTTCTGGTTTCTAACTCCCTAGGGAGGGGACGGTAGAATTTTACAAACATTGTGGATAGCCTTGGCAGCCATGCCCAGGTGTTTAGGCTCTGCACACACTGGATGGGTGACATCGCATGTTTGGGAAAACAAACGAAGTACAGAATGGCCGGTCCTCGTTTTCTCACTCTGCCTCAGAGAACCACATAACTTAGAGGCCCTCTCAGGCAGCTCCTCCACCTACAGGTGGGGGAAGACTGAGGCCCTCTAGAGGGAGAAGGGGGTCTCCTAATCAGCCCAGCAAGTTAGTGGCAGCTGGTACCAGTCCCTGGAGGCAGCTGACAAAGCTGACTGAAATCTGCAAGTCCCAAGACTGTTACAAGATCTGGACTCAAGGCTCAGGTACCCACAGGCCCCTGGGGGCAGGGGCCACCACCAGCCCTTATTACTCCAGCTTTACTCTGTTCAACAAAGAATGGGCAGTGGACATGGCTGCTAGGAGAAGGTGTTAATTAGGCAGAGATAAGGTTCCCTCCTCTTTTTTTCTCAGTCCTGGAGCTGGCCCACTCTTTTCCAAACACTGGACCTACACCTAGGTAGTCATTTTACCCTCTCAAAAACCTCCCACATGTAGAGTCTTCTCCTGTCCTCTCAAAACCAGCTCAATTGTGAAAGACTGGTCACTACTGCCCCATTTGACAGACAGGAACACCAAAACTATACACAAATCATTGGCTTTAGAGCCAGAGCTGGGACTGAAATCTAGAGGCTACTCTCTTACCTCTCAGCCCACCATGCTGAGCTGTCTGTACCACATCAAGGAAGTCTTCAGAGGACCTGCCTTCACCCTCCCCGCTTCAGCCCCATGGCCAAAGGAAATAATTTCTCTATAGGTATAAATTTTCCAAGAAGTAAACTTTTAAGCCCTCAAGTTCTAAAGGGGAGAAAGAAACAGAAGAAGGGTCTGAAGAAAGGCCTGCAAGAGGACACAAAATACCTAGTCATATGGGTGGCAGGAAGCGTGCATCCTTCATTTAGTCAGGCAGACTGGCTCTGTTCCTTATTAGCCATGGGACCTTGGGCAAGTCACCCAACCTTTCTGATTGCTCACCTTAGAAAACCACAGCTTGTGAGAATCGAACAAAATGGAAAAGCATACTGAGCTTCCTGCAGAATGCCAGGCACATGGAATTGATTATAACCGTCCCATGGAATGTCAGGGCTGAAAGGGACTTGGATGATGACCTAATCCTGGTGTCTCATTTCACAGATGGGAAAAACAAGGCCAGAGAGGGGAACTGACTTGCCCAAGGTCACACAGCAAACTCATGGTGATGTTGGATCTAGCACACTCAGTTTATATTAAAACCACAGATTAGGGCCACTGAGCCAGAGCTGGGACTGAAATCTAGAGGTGGAAGAAGCTTTTTCAGTGGTTCCCCAACCCATAGTGTCCCAACATGTAAGCTTCCTTTCTCCACTTAGCAAGAAAAAATGTGGTATTTCTGCCCAGAAGAAAATATAAAAATTTGAGAAATACTCAAATTAAAACTAAAATCCCAGTTCTTGACAAAAAGGTGCTCTCTCTTAAGGTTTCTATTTCCCGCCTTCCTCTCTCATTGTACCCCCCCAAATATTTTGCAATAACAGTAATGCTGAGAGGAAAGAAAAAATAAAAATCTGATGCACTTAACAGATATTTTGGTACAATAATGCATCACAGATGTTCATATCAAACTGTGCACGCGCGCATACAATTTTACTGAGAAGGCTCTTGCATTTCTGACTTTGGGGTGGGGGATCCCTAACATCCCCATCCACCCAAGCTCTGGAAACTCTCCCTCCCAGTTAGCCCACGGTGGCCCATGGGGATGGAGGAGAGATTTCATCACCTCGCTCCAAAATGATAACAGAACAAATTGGTGGGGGTCGGACACTCTGGCAGGTGGTGAAGGGTGTGGAGATTAGGGAACCAAGAGGAGACCTGTTTTCTTTTGTTTGGGACTTGCTTCCTGCAGCCCTCTTGAGAAGCTGGACCCAAGAACAATTTTAAGAGCGGGCCCAGGCTGGTGATGGGGTGGGCGCGTTTGTGAAACCAGAGATTTGAGTCCGTTTGATCTTCAAACATGGGCTTTGGAGACTGTCAGCGGGCTCCTCGCTGGCCGATGAATGGCTCTCAGGAACTTTTCCTAAAACATAACCTCACACACTTTCCAGCAAATGTTTTCAACCTACCAAAGCCGTCATTCGGTTGAACAGCCGTGTTTCCAGACCCCGAAGAAAGATAGTTTTGTTGTTTTAAGAGAGACAGATTAAAGCCAGGGGCTGTTTAACCAGGGGGTTTGTGTGCTCCCTTCAGCTCTCACGGATTCCTCAGTGGTTGGTACAAAGAGGGTGTTGAGAGTGATGGTGGATCCCCCACCTCCCCAGCCTAAAAAAGATATCGAGGCCAGACGTGAGGCCTCTGAACAGAGGGGCCTCCCACAAGCCTGCCTCCAAAATGAGATGGGCGGTGAGTGCTGGGGAGCCTAACACAGATAATATCAGCTCTCGAGGCTGGCAAGGGAAAGTCACTTCAGAGGGAGAAAGCCGGTATGTTCAGAGGAATCAGCGCTGGGCCAGAGAATGCACAGGATTTTCCCCCGTGGAGAAGGAGTCAGGCGTAGTCAGAACCCTGCGGGGCGTGACTAACTGCCCCAATATTCCTGCCACCGGGGCCCTCTGGGTAAGGACTCCACAATTATGGGAGAGCCAGCAGGAGAACCGACAAACCCGCCTTTCATTTGGCCGGCAAATCAATCTGGCTTCTTACCTCCCTGGGGACAATATTGCATTTCCCCTGGAAAAACAAAGGCCAGAGATCTCTGAAGGGGGATCAGTTTCTGCTGCTGTTTCCCTGGTGAAGAGCTTGCAACATCTTGGGAGCAGCAAGCAGCTCTGGTCCCAGTGGTAGTTTCTAGCCTGGCCAATTTATAGGACTGTCTTCGTAACAGAGGAGCATGCCTCCAGGGCCATGCCTCACTCCTCACTGGGGCATTGGATGGAGCCCCATCTGGGGGCCTCCTAGCTGGAGCCCCCAGCCCTGATGAGAGCCCCCATCCCTGTTCTCAAGGCACAGATGTGAACTCATTGTTCCCGGGGCCTCAGAGTTGAGTTTGGGGCCAATGAGTGGCGAGTGACCTCTGCCCGTGGAGACAGGGCTTTTAATGACATTTTGCTGGATCAGGTCTTCTCTGGCAGCCAGAGACTTTAAACCTCCTAAGCTCCTCCCTTCTCCCTGCCCCCACTCCTAGGTTCAGAAATCAGAACTGTCAACCTTTAAGTGAACACATTTCTCTGAAATTATTAACCCCAAAACTATCCTGGCTGGCTTTCACCCAGCCTAGGGAGGCAGTCCGAGGGTCGCCTGAAGCTTTGCAAAGGTCCAGGAAATCCAACAGTGCTTAATATCGAACAGCAAGCCACAGACACCAGGTCCACTCACAACACCTGCCCTGCGCCCAGTCCCAGGCACCACGTCTCCCTCTCTGTGTCCTCTGTTTACTTGCTGCTACCTGCATGTGTCCACACAACAACCTCCAGACAGCCTCCTGATCTTGAGATCAGGGGCCTCGAATGCAAACTTTCAGCTCCCTCTTTTTGTTTTTCATCACTCTGATGCTCCCAGGGAAATTCTTTCTGCTCAGGCAAGCACGGCAGGTGGGAGTGTATATCCCCGACAGGTAACACCACCGAGAGGGACGCAAACACCCAACCTCTTACCCCCAATGCCAGCACATACCAGTTTGCCCTCATACCACCCCAAAAGCAACTGGCGAGTCACTCCATAGTCCAAAAGACCTTCTCCCTTTGGGGGAAGGATAAGCTCCGGCTGCCAGAGAAGGAAGACAATCAGAGAAGAGAACAAGGGCGCATAGGGGCTGCCCAGTCCCGGGGACCAGGTGCCCTGTGCCTACCTGGGAGAAGTTGAGCCCATTGAGCGGATGGCACTGCTCCTCCACCCGCTCCACAGCCCCCGTGCTCTTCTTCATCTTCTCGGCCTGCTGCGCCAGGTAGAGGTCTAGCACAGGCACACCCCGGGAACGCACGTCAGTCTCAGTGAGCGAGTTCACCATCAGCATCACCCACACAGGCCTCTTGCGCTCCCAGTTGCCTGCGATGGCGTTGAACAGGTAGTCCGCGTAGAGCCCCTTGCCCCGCTGTGCAGGCGTCATCCACGAGGGCATCATCAGCTTCACATAGTCCAGGTGGCGCTTCAGGCGCCAGTAGAGTTCCCGGGGCAGCACATCCTGCAGGTTCTCCCCATGGGGCAGCAGCTGGCAGCTGGCCAGCGCAGAGATGGTGTAGGGGTCTGTCAGGTCCAACTCAAAGTAGACGCGGGCACTGGCCTCGAAGGCTGCCTTGGAGTTGTCCGGGATGAAGTCCCAGACGCGTGTGTAGGGGACGTGGATGGTGCCAAACAAGTAGGCCGGGGGGTCACGTCGAATAGTCCACAGGAAGGAATTGAGGTCCCTTTGCTGCAGGGGGAGAGGAGAAGGAAGGCAGTGAGGTTGATGGCAGCAGAGCAAACCAAGGTTAACACAGACGGGGCAGGAGGAGGTGGGGATGGAAGGCAGGCAGACACCTACACGGGGCCATGGGAAAGAGCGAGGTCTTTGAAAGCTGAAATACCCACAGGCAAATCCTGGCTTTGCACTGTCTTAGCTGTATGATCTTGAGCACATTGTTTCAATTCCACAGACTCAGTTTCCCCATCTATAAAATGGAGGGGTGAGAGCAACTACCTCAGGGGTTAATGGGAGAATAAAAACACACAATATATCTAAATAAGCCCTAAGAGCAGTGCCAGGCATGGAGGAGGAAGGGGCAATGAAGGAAGCTCTCATTATGATTAGCTTTCACTGTTTGTGCCAAGGTCTGCCACATCACCTGAGAACATTCATGCTTGGCCAAGCCAAACCTTCACCAGTGGTGTTTCATAGGGAGGGTGGGGAGAGGGGGAGCAAGAGTACTGCTCTGGTAAGAAGGGAGGAAGTCATATAACTGAAATCCAACCATTAGAAGATACTTGCCAAGAGCACTTTGAAAGCAGAACACCTATTAAAAATAGCACACCTATTTAAACAGCGACTTCCCATTCATCAGGGTGGATACGGTTTTCCTTTTGGAGGGCAGATCTGAGTGTCAGCTACTCTGCTCAACCAGCTGAAACCACAGATGAGAAAGTGCTTTAAAAGCTGCAGGCTAAGTGAAGTCTCAGGCCCTGGCTTGGGAGCGGAGGATGCCATAGAGCCAGTCCCAAGAAATGTACATGCTCTGGGTGCTTTCCGGGCTGCTCCCCTAAGTAAGGTGCACCTGGTCTCCAACCCCATTTTTCTGTCATCTATGACCTGAGCTCTGACAAGGGTGTGTGTAGGGGTGAACAGAGAGGGGCTTGGAAACAGGGGTCATTTCTCCAGATTCAGTTTAGGGTCAGGGGTTAAGGGGCATGAGAAAGCAATTGTCATTTCTCACAGGCCAAGTCATTTTCCATCCAGAAAAAAAACAAAAAGAAAAAAAAAACCCTGGACTGTCAGTCCACACAGCACCTGCAAACTTAACTCATAACATTTTTCTACCCGATTTTTTAGCAGTGAAAAGAATGTTTCCGGGTGGGTGCAGGGAATGGTACCTTACTTTACTAACAACCAACAAGTGTAAATCCCAGCATGCTGGAGATATAAGCTGGCTCTGAGCGCCCAGCAGGCCACCGAGCTCCCTGCTTCAGCAGGAGTCAGGACGCTGGAGGTGCACCTTGTCCAAGGTCAACTACCTCTCTGCTAACAAGGCAGTGAGTGAGGACCCCACAAAATCACCTCCTGGTCCTCTGGCCTCCAATTTAGGGTTATTTTCAATGTATTAATTTACACTTTGAGGGGGTATACTGTGGGAAATCAAGAGATTCCTTGGTTTGGAAGGAAAATTAGGAGAACCAATAATTACTCAACCCCGAGGAAATATTAGGGCAGCATGTATTTCCTGGCACTGCTTTTCCTCTCCTCTGGAATCTTCCCCTTTTTTTGTGAAATAGGGGCATTTGGAAGAGTGGGTGCTGGGGGCCTGGGCTGGAAAGGGAGAGAAAAATGGGAAACTGCACTGGGGAGAAAGTTTGTCTTGGGTCAGAGTGGGAGAGCAGGGGCGCCGGGAAGCCTGGGAGGGGGCAGCGTGTGAATGAGAGAGGGTCTGATGGAAATCAGAGGGAAAAGGGCAAGGGGTGGTAGAAACAGAAGTCACGGCGGGCAGAGAGAACTCAGGGGGATCTAGGCAGGATAAAAGCGAGGAAGTAACGAGCCAGAGGGGCACAGAGAGGAAGCATCCGAGCAGGACCGAGAGCTGAGAGCCCAGAGCGTCCGCGTGTGCAGGAGGAGCGGCAGAGGGAGCGCCCATCTCGGCTCACGGGCGGAGCTGGAGCCGAGACGCCGGGAGCTGGGGAAGGGCGCCCGAGGCAGCACCTGGCGGGCGAAGGTGGAGCGGGCGGGCTGAGGTGTGTGCAGACGGCAGGACCCCAAGCCATCGTCCCGGGGGTGCCCGGGCAGCCGGGAGAGTGGCCGGGCAGGCGCTCGCTCACCGATCCGGGCGGCCGGCACTGTCCTCCGTCCGGGGGCTGCGGGCGGGCGCGAGCGGTG